TTGCGGTATGCGGGCCTCTCACTGTTGTGGCCTCTCCCGTTGCGGAGCACAGGCACCGGACGTGCAGGCTCAGCAGCCATGGCTCATGGGCCCAGCCGCTCCGCGGCATGTGGGATCTTCCCGGACCAGGGCACGAACCTGCGTCCCCTGCATCGGCAGGCGGACTCTCAACCACTGCGCCACCAGGGAAGCCCTCATATTATATTTAAATAATTCATGGCAAAGATTATAGAGACAGTCGCATTATAAATTTAGGACTTCATTTCTAAGAATCACCACTCAAAATAACTACTGATAATTTGTGATGGTTACACAACTTTGTGAATATAATAAAACCACTAAATTGTACACTTTAAAAGGGTGAATTTTATGGTATGTGAATTACATCTCAATAAACATTTGTAATAACTCTTTACAAAGCACTTCATCTGTATTCTCATTCGATCTTCACAACAAAACCCTAAATTAGTTATTTACCATAATATTATGATGAGGAAACTGAAGCTCAGAGAAGTTTAATGATTTAACAATTTCCTCAAGATCTCACAGTAAGCATAGCGTAAGATGCAAACCCTCATTTTCAAATGCTAAATCCAGTGCTTTCACCAAACCTAGTATTATGTACTTCCTGCCTCACAGAAACAGGATATCTCTGAAATGCACAGAAGCAAAGTGGTTAAAATGGGGCCAACATTGCTGAGGAAGTCAGACTCTTCTAATCTTCCAACCTATGGAAGAGTCGTTCTTCCTCATGAAGACACTGGTCTTAGAACTGGAATTTTGAGATCTGGGTTTGCAAGATGCAGCTCTGTCACCCATACCAATAAACATTTATGTTGAAGGAAAAGAGGTGGATTAATTAGTGATTTCTTGTTTCTGAAAACAGAGATTCATGTGATGTGAAATAATCACAAGTAATTAATTGGGTTTATTTTGGCCTTGTTCTTTAATTGAAAGAATTACCAAAATCCTTTTAATGACAATGTATATTATAATGTTATTAAAATTTCTAATCGAAGTCCAAAAGGCTAGTTTTCTACATGGCTTGTGCTAGTAAAAGTGAATTATCTGCAGAGCAGTAAACAAAATATATTCACATTAACGAAAACTCAAGTGACTTCTAGTAAAGGGGAGCGATAAAAGTGTTACACTCACAGGATTGATTTAAAAGCAACCTCTTTCAACAGCAATGAGCAAACAATAGTTTTAATTTACTCTAAATTCTTTCCTGGTCAGGAACCAACACAGGAAAGAGGAAAGGACTTCATCTTTCTACATAGTTTGTGTGTTTTCTGAAAAAATTTATATTTTTTAATTCAGAGAATACCTACTGGCACCACAGAAAACTTGGGAGTTACGAAGAGAACTTTCATTAGTTATTAGACGGCTTCCCTGGTGGCGCAGTGGTTGAGAGTCCGCCTGCTGATGCAGGGAACACGGGTTCGTGCCCCCGTTCAGGAAGATCCCACATGCCACGGAGTGGCTGGACCCATGAGCCATGGCCGCTGAGCCTGCGTGTCCGGAGCCTGTGTTCTGCAACGGGAGAGGCCACAACAGTGAGAGGCCCACGTACCGCAAAAAAAAAAAAAAAAAAAAAAAAAAAAAGCTCTTTCATTAGTTATTAGAGGACAAATTGAGACTGGGAAGGAGAGCTGAGGAGAATCAGCAAGAATGACAGGGACGGAGTAAAGGGACAAAGTAGGTAATTAAATAGTTAATCCCACTAGGGGACTGTAAGTAAAGAAAAAATATGGGAGACCCCTATAAGTTAATGATCACTCAAGAAAGCAGGTCTGCTTAACCACGAAACCAAGCAGGCTTGCATAGCAACAGAAGCAGGAGACATGACCCCAAACAATGAAACAATGGTGGCATGAGACTCACATCCTGCCCAGTGAACTCAGTAAGTTAATGACCCCTAGGACATACTCTCTGCACACATAAAAAACAATACTTTATGGAAAAGTGACATTTCAAAGTGAAAGGCCCTCACTGTACTGAGACCTGAAATAATCTTTCCATAGTGCCATGGCAGTCCTGGCTTGACCATGTAGGGACAAGAAAACTCCCCTGCCCAACCTGCAGGAGGAGCTGATGATGGAAGCTTGACGTCTACTGAAGAATGAGGAAGAAGGCGGTTTTCCCCCCCTCCCCACTTTTCCTTTGATTATAAAACTGTAGCTCACTAAGTTCTCAGGGCACAGCATCCTCTCGCCTGCCCACTTGTAAGCCTCACAAGCATCCTATTCTAATAAATCACTTCTTATCTACCACTTTGCCTCTGGCTGAATTCTTTCCGTGCCGAGACATAAAGGACCCGAGCTCCTTGGAGCCCCCCAGAGATGCCACCTAGTGGTGTCAAGAACACCTTCCAAGCGCTCTATCACTTGAAGCTCGGGCTAATTATTCCTCTCATTTTAGCTCTTCTCTCACTTCTCTCCAGCCCTCAGAAATGTGGATTTGTGTTTCAGCAGAGCCCAGGGGAGGCAGAACTGAAGCTGGAGAGTGCTGAGAAATTTGCACCCCTCTCCCCCAACTAAACCATGACACCCATTCCATTAGCAGAAAACCACGACAGGTGCAAGGTCTGAAGAATCCCAGACATTCCCTCCCAGCTGCACCCACAAAGGGCCGCCCAAGGTGGGCGAGCTGTTGGGAGTGGGGGGCGGTGGCAAGACGTGCTCTTTCAACTTCAGCCTAGCACTTCTTGAACACTTCCTGTCTGCCAGGCTCTGTGCTACTTGCCTTCCATGCTTTTTTAAAACAAATCGATGAGGTGGGTCGCCTGACCCACAACTCTACGAGGTAAACGTCACAGGCAGGTGAAAAAAACTAAGGCTCAAGGAGACCCAGTTGCCTGCCCTTCTTCACACAGGTCAAGCCCTGATTCGCTCTGAAATCTACTCCCCCCAAACCACCACCCAGCCCCACCCCCGACCTCCGCGCTGCACCTCCGTCACTTCCCGTCTTCTCAGTTGCCCCATAAATTAAAAACGAGGTGGTTGGCCGAGATGAGCTTTAGCGGTCTTTCCAGCTTGCCGGCTTTACAGTTTTAGGAGCGGGGAAGGGAAACCCCTCAAGGTTCCCACGTCAAAGCACCTGTCCAAGCGCCAGGGGCGCGCGCCCTCCCGCTTAGCACTGGGAGAAGCGCGCCCGGCGTCGCCAGGGGTCCGGCGGTCCCAAGCCTAGCCTCTCGCAAAAGCGCGCGGACCGCCGCGCGCATGCGCAATGGCCTCCGGACGCGCGCCGTCCCTCCACTCTCTGCCCCACCCGCGCCTGCTTCCAGTCCCTGAAGGAAGCGGCGAGGGCGTGTGCGTGTCCGGCTCCTGCTGACCTTTGGCTCCTCAGCCGGCGCCCTCGCAGAGCTGTCCTCGTCTCCCCTCCTCCCCGGCTCTGGTAACACCCTAGCTCAGAGCCTGGGAGGGGAGGAGCCTTTCGCGTAGCGCCCCCGGTGCCTCCAGCAAGCCTAGAGTCGGCCCGCCCCGAGGGGCGTGAGGGGGCGGGGCTGAGGACTTAGGACTCCGGCCCATAGACCGCCTCCTGCCGAGCCAGAGCAGGCATCCCAGTCTGGTGCTGAGAAAGCCATGACGGCGCTGCGGGGGCTCTGGCCCGAGATGCAGGACACCTGTATCTCGCTGGGGCTGATGCTGTCGATCGTGCTGTTCATGGGGCTGGCCCGCGTGGTCACCCGGCAGCAGCTGAACAGGCCCACTGTCCACGCCTTCGTCTTGGAGTTTCTGGCCACGTTCCAGCTCTGCTTCTGCACCCATGAGCTGCAACTGCTGAGCGAGCAGGAACCCCTGCACCCCACCTGGCCGCTGACGCTAACCTACTTCTTCTCGTTGGTGCATGGCCTGACTCTGGTGGGCACCTCCAGCAACCCGTGCGGCGTGATGATGCAGATGATGCTGGGGGGAATGTCCGCTGAGACGGGTGCGATGAGGCTGTTAGCTCAGCTGATTGGTGCCCTGTGCAGCAGGTACTGCATGGGCGCCCTGTGGAGCCTGGGACTGACCAAGTATCACGTCAGCGAGAGGAGCTTCGCTTGCAGGAATCCCATCCAAGTGGACTTGCCCAAAGCGGTCATCATAGAGGCCGTCTCCTCCTTTATCTTCCACAGCGCTTTGCTGCACTTCCAGGAGGTCCGAACCAAGCTTCGTATCCACCTGCTGTCAGCACTCATCACCTTTTTGGTCTATGCAGGTTTGTTATTCCCACAAAACACTTGGCATGTCCGGAGCTTCTATGACTTGAGGCTCTAAGTTCTTTGCCAAGATACATTTTAAACCATTATGCCTCTGTGATGTCAATATTGGTATCTCCGTAATTCTAATCATTTTGCAGCTCATTCTTTACCGATAGGGTCGAAATATTGATCCTCCATTCAGTGCTTTTTTTTTTTTTTAACACCCAGAGAAAGCCACTTCCATGCTGAAACTGAGATCATGTGAGATATTGCCAAGGGTTCAAATATCCTACAAAGGGATTGTTGTAATGGTAGAAAGGAAAGATAACATCAGCTACCTCTTGCCAACTTGGTATAGATCCTTTCTGAGACTCTCACTGAAACATGATCCTGGGTGTCAAAAGTTCCTTCCAATTTAAAGCACAAGCTACCTGATTGGTTAGTAGTAAGAGTGGGAAGTAGAAATTCTGTAGTTCTATTTCTTAGTTCTTTTTCTACAAAATTACTTAAAATCATTTATCTCCTTAATAATTCATCTTGAGTTATAAGTGAATTTTTAATGGCCTATCAAGAAAGATGTGTTTTAAAATCAAAACGTGCTTGAAATCAAAGATGCTTTTTAAAAACTAATAATTCTTGAGAATCTGTTGCTTCCTCGTAAACTATTTGTTCACCCTGACAGATCTCAGATTTAGTGGATAATCTGAATATTCCAAATGGGACAAGAAAATCCAAAAAACCAAAGTTTAATGATGAAGTGTGTTATTTTAAATGATCACGACAAAATATTTCATTAGGACTATATCTGAATTCTAAAATGTTTTGGAGGCAGGAATCTAATAAAAGGAATTAGTAGTAAGAGTCAGTCTTCTGCCCACTGAAAGGGAAACTATGAGTAGACGCAAACCTCAAGATAAGGAATTTTAAACATATGCTCGACTTCCTAGGTAGAAATGAAAGAATTTCCAATCCATTTCAACTTCTTTAGATCTAGTACCTTTTTTTTGGTAGAGGCAGATGGAAAACAATGGTATAGGAGAGAAGGAAGGATTTATGCATATTTGAGGGGTTGGTGAGTAGTTGCTTATTAAAGTTTTAGGTTTGGGCCAAAGCAGAAACATCCCTTGAAAAAAGTTATGCCACAATTTAGCTCTGTACTTATATAATTAGAAGTGGTAAACATTTAAAAGATGTTTTAAGTTAATAAAATGTTATACACAGTTCCTCCTCCCTCTCTTATCTTTAAATTGGTATTCTTCCTATTTTTGTACTTTTAATACATATTTATGATTTCATAATAATACTGTATATATTAGCCAATACTTATAAGTGACAAAGATTTTGAGAGAAGAGAAACAAGGTAATAATTGAAGTTATACATAAATATAAGGAGAGTTATTAGAAAGAACCCATAAAATAACAATTTAAGGTGTCCAAAAACACTGCTCTTTTTCTTCCCCTCACACTATTGACATCGACATTGCTGAAATGAGGATACTAATTGGTAGGGGAGGAGGAGAGAGTGAAGGGATCACTACAGCAGTGGTTCTCAACATTCTCTCTGCATTACAATCACCTAGGGAGTGTTTTAAACATACCCATATCTGGGTGCCAAGATTAAGATTTAATTGCTGTGGGAAGGGGCCTAGGCAATAGTAGATTTTAAATTTTCCCAGGTGATCCCAATATGAACCACTGCTCCAGTCTAGACTTTGCTGGCCATTTCAGTAGCCACTAGTCACATATGGTTATTTAGGTATAAATCCACTAAAATTAAATATTTACTTCTTCAGTTGCTATAGCCACATTTCAAGTACTCAATAGCCATATGTGGCTAGTGGGTACAATATTGGGCAGTGCTGGAGGCTGTTTGCAGGGACAGAACCTAACAATTATTTAGCACTGTTACAGAAATTGATACCCTATTATGATCTTCCTTTTCTGACAATATAAGGGAGATAAGAATATTCATTGGGCAACATGCCAAGCATGTAGGAAATTTATATGAGTTATCCTAGTTAATCCTTACAGCAACCCACTGATGAATACATTATTCCCATTTTTATGTAAGTGAGGCTCAGAAAAGTGCAATGACCTGTCCAAGGTCACACAGCTAGAATGTGCTGGAACCATGGTTTAAACTGACACTAAAGCTTACACTCATTTCATTATCAGCATTTCTACAGCATACTCCTCAAAAGTAACAAAAATATATACATACAATTGAATATTGTTCAGCCACGAAAAGGAATGAAGTTCTGATACATACTATGATAGGAATGAACCTTGAAAACATTATGCTAAGCAAAATAAGCCAGACACAAAGGGCCAAATGTTATATGACTCCACTTACATGAAATATTCAGAATAGGCAAATTCATAGAGTCAGAAAGTAGAATAGAGGTTACCATGGGCTGGGTAGCAGGGAGGAATAGGGACTTTTTGTTTAATGTGTACAGAGTTTCTGTTTGGGGTGATGGAAAAGTTTTGGAAATAGTGGTGATGATTGAACATTGTGACTGTAACTAATGCCATGAATATACACTTTCAAATGGTTAAAATGGCATATTTTATGTTATGTATATTTTAGCATAACTTAAAAAAATTTAAGTTACAAAAGGATTCTGTTGCCAAGTAAATTTGGCAAACACTGGATTAAAAAGATTTTCTAATTTAAGACTTCACAGAGCCTTTACTATGCTACTGTTTATTGTGAAACTCCAACAAGAGAAGCATGTGGAACACAGTTTTTCAAACTTATGGAATCCTTTTGTCTAGGAGTGTGTAGCAGAAGAGAACATACTTTGGGAAGTGCTGCACTAAGCCATGTCACTCCCCATTTTTTCTATGGATATAAGTCATAACTTTAGATCAGTTATTCTAAATAGAGTGAACTGTTTGGGGACTAGCTGAGTGTGTGTCTTACCAGGCAGAGGTGAGGCTTTTGTAGGAAGGAGTTAAGAATGGATACGGAAGGAAAGTCAGGGGAAGCATCTGCTAAATCAGGCATCATTACAAGTTACTTTGATATGTCTTTCTTTTTTTTTTTTAAACTTCTAAGATACTATTAGTACTGGGTGGCTAAGTTGCATGCTGGGATATTTCTTTAATCACTTGCATTTTGAGGACACTAATACAGGTCACATCAAAAGAACTGATAATTTAAGCTTACAGAACATAACTGTCCAGCAGCGTAGCCACAGGCTCCTTGGATAGCCAATGATCAAGCGTCTTGATTGTGTATTTATTGATTTAGCACCCTGCACTTTGATGTGCAGATGGAGGCCACTGATGTCATTACCACTTATCATGTATTTATTGACTTCCCAAATAAAGTAAAAAACACTGTGTGATTTATTAACATTAAAACTGTAATACTATTAATGCAAATTTCAAGCAAATCTTCCTTAATTTAGGTTTTGGGAGAATTTGGTTCAATGATCAGGGTAAGAGAGAACTGCATTCGTTTTTAAATTAATTACATATTGGGGAAAAAATCTGTTATTTTACATATCCAAATAGGCTGTCTTTATTACTGTACCCTGTTCATTTCCTTTGTAGAATTTTTTAATTATATACTTGTTTTCTGATGTAATGCCTGTCTTCCTCCACCAGACAGTAAGCTTTATGAGTACAGAGATTAAAATTGTTTTATTCATTATAACTAGGACTTAGCATGGTGTCGCCTGTTACAAATAAATACTCATTATTTTCAGAATGAGTGAATGAATGAATTAGCAAATACTCTATTCATTTAAAAATAGAAAGAAGTAATACATATCTGGGTATTCCATATTTTATGTCTAAGAGCTTTCAAAATAAGGCTAATATATTGTTTGAAGTAACTGCATTTTTACTTCATTTCATTACTCCATTCAGGAGGTTTTTGTATCCTTCTAAGTCACGAAGAATTTGGGTAAGATTATTTGTCAAAGGAGAAGGGAACTAAGTCCTTTATGTATGTTTATTTTTAATACAATAACCATATGAAATAGGTGCCAATTTACAAATGAAAAACAGCTTCAAACGAAGGTCCAAAACTTTTTTTTTTTATCATGCCAGTAAAATATAGTGGTTAAGCACACAGCCTTGGAGTTGGACTGTGTCCGTAGGAGAGATAACTTAATTTAGGTCTCAGTTTCCTCATCTTTAAAATGGAGAATACTACTATCTCTTCAGACTATGATGAAGAATAATGTATTCCAAGTTCTTCCCAAAGTAACTGGCACAAATGTTCTGGTCACTGGAAAGGCCTAGCTTCCATTATAAATTAGTTAATTGACATTCTAGCTTTTACACGAGTCTTACATGATTTTAACTAGTGTCATTCTGTCACAGAGAATTTGATTCCCTTTAGGAGTACTGAGAAACATTAGTGCCTATAATTATCAGATTTGGGACTCAGTCTTTGTGGTAATTTCACCAAGGTCATACTGTCTTCTAAAACTCTTGGCAGTCAGCCGGCTGGATCTCCCTGTTGATACCTCTTCTTCAACGTATGTTATGGCTTCTCCCCTCCAGACATCAATAAATAGTAACGTATTTTTCAAAGCCATTTTCTGTAAGTTCTGTGCCTGATGGATGATTCTTTTTAAATAATTCACATTTAATTACACAATACATGAATGTGTTATTTTTGTAAAAAATGGAAATATTACCAATGAGACTTTTGATTGCCATCCTTCATGCCTGTCCCCTCTCCTTCCCTGCCTACTCTTCTCACCAGTGTAGTCCTCTGTGCGTGCATATGTGTGTGTCCTTCCAAATTCTTATGTGCATTTATTATACATATAGGACCCTGTAGAAACTATTATATGTGTTCATGTTAACATGAAAGGTATCATACTTTACTTTCTGCAGTTTGCTTTTTTTAGTGGTGTGGTTCAATGATATTATCTTGGAGCTCTATATTAGTAAAGAGATTTCACTTGTTATTTCAGTACTGAATGGTATTCCAAATTAATAACAACGTTGTATATTTAGCTACCTTCTTCTGAATGGACATTTAGGTTTTTCCCAGTTCATTGCTACTATAAATAAACAACCTTATGTGTGTCTACTAGTATTCAAGTACCAGTAGTTCTCTAGGACAGTGGTTTTCAATGGGACAGTTTTGCCCCCTGCCCCCCCAGGGGACTTTGGCAATGTCTGGAGACATTTGTGGTTGTTACAAGGTGGGAGATGGATGTGCAACTGGCATCTAGTGGGTGAAGGCTAGGAATGCTGCTAAAAATCCTACAATGCAAAGGACAACTCCCAACAAAGAATTACCCAGTCTAAAACATCAAAGCCAATGCCACATTTTGGGCCTTTTGTTGACACAATGGATTTCTGAATCAGTTAACTTATCCTTAAAATAACAGTAACTTATTATTTTTCATGACTTTGTGGATTAGATAGGAAATTCCTGAGATCATACAGCTGGACAGTTAGTATGTCTGGAAGAGCCAAGGTGCTTCACTCGTCCAGCAGTTGGTACCAACAGCCATTTAAGATGCCTCAGTTTTCTTCCCTATGGCCTCTCATCCTCCAGCAGCCTGGACCAGCTCACTTACATGGTCAGGGCATTGTTCCAAGAGAGTAAAAAGTGGAAACTGATGATGGCTTTATTGAGACCTGAACCTAGAATTCACTGTGTTGCTTCTCACATTCAGAATTCACACAGCATCACTTCTGCTGCATTCTATTTGTCATTGCAAGTTGCAAAGCCAATCCATATCCAAGACAGGGGAATAGACTGTACCTCTGGGTAGGAGGAGCAGCTTCTACCAAGTCACACTGAGCAGAACTGGTGATGTAGCGGTTAGAAGATAAGTGTGTAGTAGCTGGAGTTTTAGAATGGTATAAAACTGACCGACAGTGTTCTTAGACCTAATGGAGATACCAAAGACCTAATGGGAAAACTGAAGCAAAACTAATTATGAGGGCAATGATTCAGTCTATTTTTATTGATAAATGCCGAAAAAAAAAATCACAGGTCACTTATATTATCACCACACATATTACATTATATTTTATTATAAAGATCTGTGTGAATCCTTATCTTTTTGTCCATAGTGTCCAGAACATAAGAACTCAATAATTTTTTGTGGAATTAAGCTGAAATGACCACATGCCAACCAAACAATTCTGTTGGCCCTTGGCAGTTGCAGGTTTAACATTCCAGGATTTGACTATTCAAGAGTGGTCCTGAAGGTCCATGATGTGATGTCATTTATAATTGCTGAGGCATGAATATGAATCATGCTGTGAGGCTGGTATGCTAAAAAGGACTCAGCCATGGAGTAAACTCACTTCAGGGTCAACATCTTTACCTCCACACAGCTTCAATGTTTTCAGCCTATCTGGAGTGAAATCTCATTAGTGAAATCTTATGAAAGGGTCTCTTAATTTCCAATTTTACTTCACTGCATTTTATAATTATATAGCAATTAACATGCTATAGTGGCATATGTCCATGTAAAATTTGTGAAGATCTCCGGATCTGTAGCTGTGGCTGAGTCAGAGGCAGACAAGTGTGCCCAAGCTTCCACATGGAACCACCACCAGAAATGTCTCTATCTCAGGGATACAATTAGAATATGTTTTGAAAAGCTGAGCCACAGTTCTGGTGAGTACCACTGGACAGGCAGTCCAACCTCTTTTGCCTTTCCTTACTTGCTGTGTAGCCAGAACTATAAGCTCCTGGGCCCCATCTCAGAGAGAGACCCTGTGCAGAGCTGGACCATGAATCCTGAAAAGTAGTCAACAGTTAGAATTTGTGCTTATCTTTCACGACTACTCAGTCACTTTTTTTTATTTTTAAAAATTTTGTAACCACTTTATTGAGATATAATTCACACACCACTCACAGTCACTTCTTCAAGGCTCTGCTGCCAAGTAAAAATGGAGTCAATGATAATGCTGTGGTCCATTTTTTGTTTTCAAAGCAAAGGTACTTCTGCTCAAGAGGATCTTGGGGTATTGTACCCATTTTAAATGTACTTTCGTCTTATTTTTATTATTATTCACTCATTTAAGTTGATGAATGTTAAGAAGGGCAGCCAGATCTCCTGTTTTATAAAACTGTAGGAACAATAACAGAGCAGGTTAACTTTCAATGTGCATTTTATAATATACTATAGGAAAAGCATTGGATTAAAATTCTTAATGTCCTTTGTCCCCCCACCCCCTTTTTGCACCTGGCATATTATAATCTATAATCTATTTTTATTCTCTATGCCAGGTGATTCTGCAAAGGAAGATTACAGAATAAGAATACTTAAATACCTAAAATGAAATAGTTACATTTAGTAATCCCTGTATTTCTAGTTGCAAGAAAATGTAAGATATATGGTTTGGTATCATTCTGTTTAAAATGTATTACAGGAGGAAGTCTAACAGGAGCTGTATTTAATCCAGCTTTGGCACTTTCACTACATTTCCAGTGTTTTGATGAAGCATTCCTTCAATTTTTTATGGTATATTGGCTGGCTCCTTCTTTAGGTAAGCATATTTTTATTTAATATAATTAAAAGATTAGAATATTTTAAATATGATATGGAATGTCACTGTAACATGTCAATTTCCAAAGCCAGAGCAGTGACAGAAAAGAAAAAAGGCAGGAAATGTTATGCCTGAAATAACATTTTATTTTGTGCAGTATCCTTTAAAACTGTTTTTAATCTTCAAAGAAACAAGTTACCTAATTAAGGATAGTCAGTTTGAGGTCTGATACCACTTTAAGAAGCCCTCAGATATGAGGGCAAAAAAGTGAGGAGTAATTACTTCCGTTAAAAAAGAATCTTTTTTTTTTGCTAAAGGAATTTGTTTTTTTCAAGTTTGTGAGCTCCAAATAAAATACTATTTAGTTCATTTGACTCATTTCACAGAAGGGCATCTCATGAAACAATGCAGAACTATAATAAACGTAGTTTAAAAATTTTCCACAAGTTGCATTCCTGTTATCCCTATCTGGATCAGATATGTAAAACTCCTCTTTCCAGGTAGGTCAAATAACATAAAAAAGTTATAAAATAACTGTAATCATGATATGCATTTCCTTATGTAAGTTATCAGCATTTCTTGATTTTGTTTAGTCATCTGTTTTAAGCCTGACTATAATTCATAACTATAAATGAATATGAGGATAGCTGGCCTTCTGTTAGTTCATCCTTCTTTTTATCCAGTTTGCATTTTGTTTCTTGTTGGTCATTTCTTTAAAAAAAAAAAAAGGGGGTGGGGAGGAGGGTACTTATAGGAGAGAACACAGGCATAACAGGTTTGAATAGCCATCATACTTCACTCCTTCCATTCCTTCCACTCGTTTCATTTAGGAATTTTCCTCACATTTAGTATCTGTTATGCTCAGCAATATCTATAGGCCTAAACGTGAAGAATATCAGAGAAAACCTGTATTTTAAAATGCTAATAATGGTAGCTTTTTCTCATCTATTGATTACTAGTATTTTCCAACAAGCTCTTTAAATTTTCTCTGCTCTTAATTTTTAAGAAGTAAAAAAGGTCACTGAGTTCATGAAGAAGTTAAAAACGTCACTAACTGGACCGGTCTACTGAAGTTTTTATATGGAAAAATTCTCTTAATATGTCTTATTTGAAATGAACATATATTATTAACATTATATATTTGTTACTGTGCTCCAACTACAATTTTAACAGTAGGCCCATGATAGTAAGGAATTATGTCATTCACTACTTGAAAAAAAACTAAAAAGTAGGCCTTTCCAAAAGAATTTTAAAAGAAAAAAGAAACAGAAGTCATTGCCATTCTCTGTAAAAAGACCATGACTTTTTTTTTCATTAAACACATTTTCTAGCCTAAATCACTTGATAACTTCTTCCTCGAAGAACATACTGGAAAAAAGTCTCATGACAGATTAAAAAAAAGGAGCAATCACTTCTGCCCCTTTAGCAAATATACAGACCGGAGAGTAGTAGGGTAGGAAAACAGACTATATTCTCTTCATGACAGTGTGGTGCAAACAGGAAGAGAACATTACTTGTTGCCGTTACCAAAACATTTTAAAGAACCACTTATCCAAAAAACAATCCAAATACGTAAATGAAAAACAAATATACTTTTATTTATTTCTTTGCTTCCTATTCAAGGGATCTTTTAAAAATGGAATTGGGATCAAACTTTTCTGCAATTATGTATGGCCCTAATTAGCCTGTTGAAAATATACATTCAAAGATTCTTCCTTTGTTAACCTAAGGATCTCCTAGCTTTTTCTAAACAGACCCAAATAAAATTTCTGTTCTAGTTTTTCATTTAAAGAGCCATGTTCCTATACTGCTTTCAGAGGTTTGTGAATGAGAAACAATATAGAAATAATTCGATAGATGTGGATAAAAGACATGTGACTAAATGGCAGTTTTTAGAATACTGAATTCTGGCTTGCCACTGACTTCTGTCATACACTGAAATTACATTCCCATTGGGAAAAGAAATGGCCTCAAATGAAATAAGGTCACTATTAAACTCGAAGAAGGATAAGAAAAATAAATTTTATTTTTACAAGAGTCATTCAAAGAGCTAAGTAAGAGATGAGGAGTCAAAGCAAACAAACACTAGGCAGTGCCACAGAGTGCGACAGAGGAGAGTAATCGCAAGATACCATCTTCTTTCCCTTCTTGACCAAGCAGGGAGCAAACTATTCTTGGAAGACATGGTCCTTGTTCTTTCTTGTTTCTCTTCAGAGCGGAGATTATTATAATTCCTTTAATGGGCCCTGCCATCTTCCCCAATTAATAAAATGTTAGAAATGTGACTATAAGAATGTATATAGAATTAATTCTCTAGCTTACACATTTCATATAATAAAAATCTGCAAATTCTATTTGCTTCTATGAAACTGCAACTCCATTTTTAGAAAGTTTTAAATGTAATGTCTTATTTTCTAGCTCTGACTTTATAAAGAAAATGTCAAATTTTGTGGATTTATTAACAGACTGTTTCAGACTTTTTAAAAAATCTAAAGCCTTTGTTTGCAAATCAGATTCATCTTTCAAAAATACGTTAAGCTATCCAAATGCTAGTCAAACCTTAAGGTTTCCTCTTGTTAGCAAACAGGAGTAAACTATCAAATCTGCATGTGACAAAAGCACATTCTTAATCTAAGTTTAAACTGATTTAGAGCTTTAAGCCTACATACCTTCAGATAAAAACATTAACCACTGCAGACTTCTGTTAGACAGTGATTTGAGTCCTGTGCTTAAATCTCCTCTGTCCCTATTTCCCACTGAAAAATTTTAAATCTTAAAAAAGTTTTTAAAAAAATCACATTTTTTACATATATATACATATATATATATGCTAGTTTAGATTTATCTGGCATGACCTCAAAAATGAAGATTTGCTAATATGTGATTTTTTAAAAAACATATTTATATTTAAGATTTAAAACGTCAACTGGGGACTTCCCTGGTGGCACAGTGGTTAGGACTCCATGCTCCCAATGCGGGGGGCCTGGGTTCGATCCCTGGCCGGGGAGCTGGATCCCACATGCGTGCCGCAACTAAGACCCGCTGCAACCAAATAAATGAATAAAAAAAAAAAAAAAGTCAACTGAAGTTTTCTTTCAGATACTTTGCTTATTAATACAGCTCTAAAAGCTATTAATCATTGAGACTAAAATGGAGACCCAAGTCCAGAGTTTCTCACTCAGCAAGTCAATAATGAAGCCAGAACTAGAACTCCAGATCTATTTTATTTATCCTTTGAATTGTTTAGATCCTACTGGTTTTTCCAAGTACATACTGTTTTTAAGGGTTCATGGTTGAAGAAAAATAATGTGAGAATATTTTATTTTAAAATACCTACATGTTTCATGTAGAACTGATGTAGCTAATTCTCTTAAACATAGCTCTACAAATCTCTAGGTATGTAACTGTATATAATCTTAAATTATAACCACTGAATGATTATGAACTTCCTTAGGGATTGTTTTGTTTTTACTGTATTTTTCTTTCAGGTATATTGCTGATGATTTTGATGTTCAGTTTTTTCCTTCCATGGCTGTATAACAACCACACAATTAATAAAAAGGAGTAACTATTCTAAAAGACTCAGACTAAGTTTCAGGACAGTCAAGATGGATGTGATAAAGATTTTATCACCTAATATTCACACACTGGCTGCACTGGATTCGTCAATGTTATCTTCCTTTGAAGAAACTGCCTTAGAGTTTTCATCACTGGGACTTAAAAAAAATTACTGTGAAAATGAGGTATCCTGTGTTTTTCAGTTAAGACTTGTTCTTTTAAGCGTGTATTAAATGCTGCTAGAAAAGACTCTTTAAATATAAATCTCAAGTGATAATTGTTAATTTTGATGAAAAAGAAATTGAGTATAGGGTGAGAAGGGAAGGGAAGGGAAGGTGATGGCAGAACCTAGAAAGAGTACGTGTATCATGTGTCACCTGAATGAACAAGATTTTTAACCAAAGTACAAACAGTCATGCTTACAAAACTGGAGAGAGGATACTTTTCAGCCACTACCTCACACAGTGATACCATCAGCAGTGTCATCTTTCAATAGGAAAGTTGCTTTTGGAAGTAGATTATATACCTACTCATACTCAAGGGGGTTCCTGAATTTTAAATATATTCTAATCTAAAATATTTTCTCTAAATAGACAATCTCACTAGCTTTAGGCAAACTGTCATTCTTTAGTAGAATAAAGCACTCATACAAAGTGTAAGCTTTTCACATTCTCATCGGACTAAACAGCTACCTTATGAAGTAGGTAGGGCATGTATTTTTAATCTCCACTTTACAGATAAGGAAACGAAGTCTAGAAGGGGGTTTACTGCTTTGCCCAAGGTCAAATACAGCCAAATACCATCTTTAAACTTCTACTTCAATACAAAAAAATATTCTCCATCATCATTAAGACTAAAGGAAAATTGAAGACTTTAAAGAAATATTAAATACTTTATAATGTTACAATCTGTTTAAGAATTAACAGCGTTTTTTTTTTAGGCTTAAAGAACCTTCAAGTTTTCCTCTATTAGAATCTTTCTTTTATTGTATGTCTACTTTTTATTAAAAGTTCAGATGATAAAAGGTTAAGTATGTTTCTCTTCAAAGGAATTCCATTATCAGAGTTAAAACTGAAAGCAAAAAAAAAGGGGGGGGCGCGAAATAAGATCTGTTTGAGTAATAATCAATTAAGCAACTGATAAACTGCCAGGTGATCTAAGTGCTGCTTGGTGATCAGCCTGTGACAGTCACTCTCTTTACACCTGCAGACTGAACCAGGCTGCTGCAGGCTACCCAACAAGGCAGCCAGTTTGACAGTCATGGACTTTGACTCTTGAACTTATGAATACATACCGTAGTATTTTCTATTTTAAAAAGCAGAGTTCATAAAATTGCAACAATGGCTAAATGCAGTCTCTGACTTGTTTTATTTGGCCTGCACAGTATTTAAAACAAAATAACAAGCTAGTTATTTTAAGTTTTTAAAACACACAAAAATCCATAGTTCTAGCTTCTCTTGAAAAAAATCAAAAGGTCAGTCAATATTAGGCCTGACTTCTGCTATTACAAGCACACAAAATGACTGGTCCCTTTAATATAGTCCCTTTGCCACTCCCTACGTCTCTTCCAAACATGAAGCTGAATTTCACTTATTATTTCATGGCTGTTTTTCTTACAGGAATTTTTTTTTATTCATGTCTCTTTATCATGAGACTGTGGTTTAAGAAAATTGAGTATTAATTTGTGAAAATACCCAGCCCTCTAAATTTCACTTGTCAGAATTAGAGGTTGTGACTTCTGATAACACGGCTTCCCCTGCAGCCCTCTCAAATGGCAGTGGTATCACACCTCTTGATACCACTGGGCCTGGAGATGGAACAGGTCCCTTTCTCCTCATCTATTCTCTGCTCCCCCCCATTAAAAACATGTCATCAGACCATGCCACCTTCTACCTGGGTACTTCTTATTGCAGTTACCTACTGTACAGTCCCCTCAATTCCCTCTTGATCCAGGAATTTAGTTCCTGTCTCACTCTCACTCTCCACAACACTACTCCAGTTGTGTTTGTTGGTGATTTCAATACTTACAAAGATGATCCTTCCAATATCTTGGCCTCCCAGTTCACTGGCTGAACTTGAAAGGCTCTTCAATAATTTTTCCCTCCTCTTCTGCCTCAACTACAACTTTGGTCATAACCTTGAGCTTGTCATTACCAATAACTCAAACTCATCTCTGATCTCAAATACCTCATTCCCCAACCACTAACCCCTCTCTCCAGCTCACTCGCCCTACTATCTCATCTCCAATGATCCTCTGAACCCCCATGGGGAACTTCTGTCCACCGATACCACCACGTTTTCACATCTTTCTCCCCTCTCAATTACTCTCGTCTCCTTCAGCAGCTTAAATTACACTCTTGCATAGAATCTTAACTCCCTTGTTCCTTTATCTCATCATACTCACGTGGCTTAACCACAATTTGATTAAATCCAACTGTCTGCTTATTTCATGCCTGCACCCAAACATGAAATAGAAGAAAAACTGGAGATAGCAGTAGGACAGTTCTTTCAAAGACTTTTGCTGTAAGCAAAGAAAATGTGGGGGAAATTGGGTCAAGAAAGCATTTCCTTTTTAAAGGTGGGAAAGACATCAGCATGTTTACATGCTGAGGGGAATGATGCAGTAGAGAAAATAATGATGTAGGAAAGGGAGGGGAGATTTCCCAGGTCCATAGTTTTTAATTGACTAGCAAAGATAGAGGCAAGTGCATAACTGAAGGGGCTGGCCTTAGCTAGAAGCACAGACAGATCATTCATAGTAACAGGAGAAAAGGTAAGAATATACGGGCACAAGAAGAGTTGGTTAAGCAGATGTGATGGTGGGAGTCTGAAGAAGTTCTTCAGTTTTCTTCTTCCCATTTTTTCTTGAAGCATATTCTAGTCAGCCCTTCAACTCTACCACTCCACTGAAATTCCTGCCAAGGCCATCAATGACTTCCATGCTGTTAAATCAAGTTCTCATACTTCTTGCCTATCAGCAGCATCTGATACAATTTATTGCTTTCTCCTCCTGAATCACTTCACTTCCAGAAAATTACTGCCTTCTCGGTTTATTCTTCCTCCCTTCCCCAAACTAAATGATAGAGTTTCCCAGGGCTCAGTCCTCTGAGCTCTTTTCTATTTATACTTACTCCCTTGGTAATTTTATCTAGTCTTGTGGCTTTATGGCAACTATATCCTAATAACTGCCAAATTCCTGTCTCCAGCTTGTACAACTGTCCTGAACTCCAGACTCATATCCATCTGTAAATGTAACTCTATACTTGGTTGTCTAACATATAACTCAAGTTAATACATGCAGCTCTAGTTAATTCAAACTGCATAGTTTATCCATTCTATTGATGGTATTTGTACTAACTGTATTAAATCTATGCATGTGATAAACATTCTTGTGCATGTCTTCTTGTGTACATGTGTTTTTCTAGGGTAGTAGGCTTTCATACTTTTCATTATGGCCTACTAGCATAGTTTGGTCAAGCCTCCATCTACTTACTCCTGTCCAGATTATTGCAATAACTTCCTGTTTCTATTACCAGAGTGATCCTATTAAAACAATCAAATCACGCAACAGCTCTCTATTTCAGACTTAAAGGCATATATTCTTCGATTTAACTATTACAAAACTGTACGCAACTGTTGGTGCAAAATATTAATGTGTTGGGAAAAACTGCATATGCACCAATGTGATTTCTGGGTTATACGGACATCACTGCCCTACTTAGCAATCATTTGTGAGCTAGTTCACATTATTTAAAAACACTGTAGCGGGCCTCCCTGGTGGCGCAGTGGTTGAGAGTCCGCCTGCCGATGCAGGGGATACGGGTTCGTGCCCCAGTCCGGGAGGATCCCACATGCCGCGGAGCGGCTGGGCCCGTGAGCCATGGCCGCTGAGCTTGCGCGTCCGGCAACGGGAAAGGCCACGACAGTGAGAGGCCCACATATGGCAAAAAAACAAACAAACAAAAAAAAAACACTGTAACAAAACTGTATTAGAATGCTAGGGCTAGAATAACCAACCACACTTTAAAGCATCCTACATAAGGAATAATTCCTAGCTTCTAAAAGCACACAGGATTCCACAACTTCTTGCTTTTAAAAGACACTGTAAACAAAATGAAAAGACAAGTCATAGACTAGGAGACTGGAATCTAGAATATATAAAGGACAGATCAGTAAGAAGAAAATAAAACTGGGCAAAAAATATGGAAAAGTCAAATGTACAAAGCAGGAAGGTGTTCAATCTCACTAATAATCAGGAACATGGAAATTAAAATCCTGATGAAATTCTACTTTCATATTCATCAGGTTGGCAGAAATTCAGGAGTCTGGAAATATCAAAAATTGATGAGGATATAGAGAAGCATTATTCCCTAATGGTGGAACTGTAAATAGCTACAATCGTTTTGGAGAACAGTTTAGCAAAATCTAGCAAACTTTAAGATTTACATAAGTGGGGCTTCCCTGGTGGCACAGTGGTTAAGAATCCGCCTGCCAATGCAGGGGACATGGGTTAGAGCCCTGGTCCAGGAGGATCCCACATGCCGCGGAGCAACTAAGCCTGTGCACCACAACTACTGAGCCTGTGCTCTAGAGCCTGCGAGCCACAACTACTGAGTTCATGTGCCACAACTACTGAAGCCCGCGCGCCTAGAGCCCGTGCTCCACAACAAGAGAAGCCACCGCAAAGAGAAGCCTGTGCACCGCAACGAAGAATAGCCTCTGCTTGCCACAAGTAAAGAAAGCTTGCACGCAGCAACGAAGTACCTAATACAGCCAAAATAAATAAATAATTAAAATTTTAAATCTTTAAAAAAATAAAGCGCTTAAGTAGGAAAAGCAGCAGAAAGATTCAATTAATAAAGGTTAAAAAAAAAACATGCAACCCAATACTATATAGTGTTTATAGCATACATATACATTTAGCAAAAATACAAACACATACATAGTTATGATCAATACCAAATCTGGGATGGTGGTTACTTCTGAAGAGGAGGAAGGGGACTGGGATCTGGGGAATACAAAGGGAGCTTCAACTGTATTTGTACAATTTTATTTCTTAGCTGCATGTGAGTATATGGGTATGTGTTACATTAGTCTTTTTTTTTAACTGAAGTATAGTTGAGTTACAATATTACATTATTTTCAGGTGTAGAGCATAGTGACTCAGTATTTTTGCAGATTTTACTCCATTGTAAGTTATTACAAGATAATGACTATAATTTCCTGTGCTACACAATATATCCTTGTAGCCCATCTACTTTTTACA